AAGATTTTAAAACAAACAAAAGGGGAGGCTGGGAATGTAGCTCAGCTGGTAGAATGGTTGCCTGGCATGCACAAAGCCCTGCATTCTACCCCCAGCTTTGTATAACCGGATAATCCCAGCACTTAGCACTTGTGAGATGGAAGCAGGAGGTTCAGGAATTCAAAGCCATACTCCCTACATAAGGATTCTGAAGCTAACCTAAGATACAAGAAACGTGAGACCCTGTTCAAAAACAAGCAAACAAACTGAAGAAGGAAGAGCACAGGGACACCTTTAGGTCCTGTCCCACATCGGTGTCAGCCTGAGTCCAAAGAGCTAAGCCTCACAGCACCCCATCAACCTGGGGTACCAGCCCCATGTCTGTCACACTGTCAGCACCCCATCAACCTAGGGTACCAGCCCCACGTCTGTCACACTGTCAGCACTACTGAGCCTTTCTTCCGTTCTTCCTTGCTTTGTTTTTCAATAGAAGGTTTCTCTGTGTAGCCCAGGCTGTCCTGGAACTCACTCTGACCTGCCTGCTTCTGCCTCCAGAGTGTTGGGATTAAAGGTATGTGCACCACTGCTTGAAATCACTCCTCTCCAATTAGACTTGGACCCAACTAGATCACCAACAAGGATAACTGAGCTGGCTCATTTGTGGGTAGTCATTCGGAGGAAGGTGCTACCTTGTTCTCAAGATGTCCCTCCAGGCAGCAAGCCAGAGTACTTGATGAGCATGCTAGTGCACTGAGGATGATTCACTCAAGGATTTGTTAGTGCCTTGATGAAATTATTTTTTTAATTAAAACACCTCATGACAAGACTGTTTTACCTTAAAACCCCCTGGGACCTGAAACAGATTTATTACAGGCCTTGGTAACTTAATTTCCACAGGAGTTTAATCCATGAGAAATCTGGTGCTTTATAGAATCTATCCAGAAAACACAGTGGGCCTGTCAAACACTTGGCACATTAAAGTCAACCCCCTCTCATTTAAACAGTCCACAAGTTGAACTAAGTCTCCCACTCTGCACAGCTAACAGGCCCTGTTTTAAGAAAGCCTGAGTCTACTTTATATGTGTGGACACTAAGTGCCTAGCCATCTAAGACACTTTCTGATCATCCCTTTGTCACAGATCTAGCTGGGTAATCCAAGTTGTATTCCATGTGTGGGTCACTTATGCTTAGGTAAGAATGGGCAGCTCTGGGGCCAGTGGAACCACCTTCCATCTACAGATTCCATGTCCACCCTTTGCCTGAAGGTGAGAATTGCTACAAAACTTCCTCAAAGTTTTTACAAAGTTAACAGTCTAAAGTTATGAAGTCCTCTCCTCTTTATAGCTCTGCTAAATAAAGATCCTTCCAGTTTGGTTAGAGATACCACACTTCAGGTCCTTTAATAACAACAGCCGCTTGCAGCACAGAAAGCTGGGACAGAAGACCTAACAGCAACCAGCAAAACAAAGAAAACATTTCTCACATTTATAGACTTCAGAGGGAGAAGTTTCTAAGCCCAGGTGAGGAGTCTTGAGCCCAGCAGATTAGTGAAGGCACTATGTCTGATCCCCACAGGAGTAGCTTCTATGACATAACAGTTGCATCCTTGAGGATGCCTTAGCAGTGATTTTGAAGAAATTAACAGTTGGGCTAGCCTGAGACTCTAGATCTTCTGGAAGTCAAGGAAGAGAACTCAGTAGTAGAGAGCTTGAACAGCACATGAAAGGCCTGTGTTCAATCCCAGGACCATCAAATAAGACATGGATTGATTGATTTTAAAAGAGTATTCCTCCCCTGTAGCCCTTCACACTCTTGGGAGTTCCTCCTCATTTTTCTTAATAAAGCTACATTTGTGACAAGTAGTGGTGGCGCACGCCTTTAATCCCAGCACTCAGAAGCAAAGGCAGGCGGATCTCTGTGAGTTTGAGTCCAGCCTGGTCTACAGAGTTATCTCCAGGACAGCCTAGGCTACATAAAAAAACCCTGTCTCCCAAAAAAAAAAAAAAAAAAAAAAATTTGTTCTGCTTAAAATAAAAGCTAGAACTGTGTGCTTAATTACTAATCACAAATGCTATAGATAAAACAAATTAGAAAAATCAACGACTTCCTAAGAAACTCGTAACTTGATGGGCAGTGGTGGTGCACGACTTTAATCCCAACACTTGGGGGGCAGAGACAGGCTGATCTTGGTGAGTTTGAGGCCAGCCTGGTCTACAGAGCAAATTCCAGGACAGCCAGGGCTACACAGAGAAATCTTGACTTGGGGGGTAAAAAAAAGACAACTCACAATTCTTTGATTACATCAAGATGATTAACTCTTGGCTGATTAACTCATGTTGGGTGAGCCTGGAGGTACATGCTTTAATCCCAGCACTCTGGAGGCAGAGGCGGGCGGATCTCTTTGACCTTGAAACCAAACTGGTCTACATAGTGAGTTTCAGGCTAGCCAGGATTACATAATGAGATCCTGTCTCAAAATAAATAAATAAATAGATAAGATAGAATCTGCTTTCATTTCAATGTAATCAAACATTCCTACTTCATATAACATACTGGGGACATAGGAATAACTCAAAACAAGTGTAGGACCTTTTGCATTCTGCAAAACACATTAAGATAATAAAATTCAAATGCCTTGAAAACAAAAAAAAAAAAAGAGTTAAAAAGAAGCTATTTAGATCAAAGAGCTGAAAGACCAAGAATACTGAGATGTTGGGAATGTCTCAAACCCCAATACTAAGACATTTGGGAGCCAGGCAGTGGTGGCACACGCCTTTAATCCCAGAACTTGGGAGGCGGATCTCTGTGAGTTCAAGGTCAGCCTAGTCTACTGAGTTCCAGGACAAGCTCCAAAGCTACACAGAGAAACCCTGTATCAAGGAAAGAAAAAAGAAAAAGAAAAAAAAAAGGACATGGGGGCAGATGTTTCAACAAGGATGCTAAAACAGCTTGTAAGACACATGGCTAAAGAGTGCTCATAGTTTATAAGCATCTTTTAAAGTGTACAATACTTAAGCACAAAAGCCCAGCCAACATGACAATATGGTAACCAGTGTGTGAGCTTCAATGTGCTGGGCAGGGGTATCCTAATTTGTTCTGCTTTACTTTGAGAAAATCCAAACTGAAAGCACTATATTGAGTAGTTAAGGGAATGACAGATTATCACTATGTAGCCCAGGCTGGCTTCAAACTCAAGATCCCCTTGCCTCAGTCTCCCAAGTGCTGTTGTTATGGGTCTGGTGTCTGTTGCCACCATGCCCTGGCAAAAACAAGTGTTTTTGTTCATTTGTTTTTCTCTTTTTTTGCAACAGAGTCTCCCTACGTAGCCTCCAACTCAGAGATCCACCTGTTTCTGCTTCCAAATTCTGATATTACAGGTATTTGCCACCATGCTGGATAAGGTCTTTATACAAAAGTGGGTTGAAGCCGGTCGGTGGTGCGCATGCCTTTAATCCCAGCACTCGGGAGGCAGAGCCTGGCGAGTCTCTGTGAGTTCCAGGACAGGGTCCAAAAGCCACAAGAGAAACCCTGTCTTGAAAAAAACAAAACAAAAAGTGGGTTGAAGTATTATTCTGCTTATTTTCTGTCACCTTTCCTTCAGGAAATGGAAAATAAAACCCACGGTTTTGGTTTTGGTTTTCTTAGTTTTTGATACAGGATTTCTCTGTGTAGCCCTGGCTGCCCTAGAACTTCCAGGCTGAACTCAATTTCAGAGATCCTCCTGCCTCTGCCTCCCTAGTGGCGGGGAAACCCAGGGTTTTTAAGGTTGGTGGTGCATGCCCAAGTTCTGAGCAGAGGGAGACTTACAGTCTGGACAACAGCCATTAAACGCCATCCTGCAGATGCCACAGTTCTCATCATTGGCTACCCAGAGCCAAGTGGCTACACCATTCCAGCACTTAATTTTCACCTTCATGGCAGCGGAGATGGTGACCTGAGGGAAGAGGATTACCTGGCTAAATTAGTCTGTAGTACCACAGCACTCGAGCATTTCAGTCGGGGAGCTGCGACAAGTGCCAGGCGCTTCCAAGGAGCCACGCTTCCAAGTTTTGTTTTGCCATGTGTAAGGATGCCTTTAGAGATCTGAGCACACGCAGTGGGGCGAGGTGGCACACGCCTTTAATCCCGTCCCTCGGGAGGCAGACGCAGAGGGATCTGAGTGAGTCAAGGTCAGCCCCGCGCCCCCAAGAACAACGACAACAAAAACCTCTGCACCCATGACAAGCACTTCAGTTCTCATTAGCCATCAGTGCTTGCTTTTAACTCTGAGAAGGGAAGAGTGACCGTCACTAACTTGCTAAATTACAGCTCGTTAAGAATCTACGCCTTCGAGCAAACAAAAGCAAAAGCAGACCCTCAGCCCTGCCCCTACAGCCAGGGCCGCACCTAAGGGACACAAGCCGCGGACAGAACGCGACGCCGAGGCAACCCCGAGCCTTCCGGCCTCCCAGGGAGGGGAGCTCCGGCCCCGCCCACTCCTCGCCCTCGCACCTTCTCCACCTAATCACGAGGCGCCCCGCCCTTCCGTTGCTGCCGCGCGGGAAGGTATAAAAACGACCGTGCCGCGTCTGGCTGCTCAGAAGCAGCGCCCGCCGCCTCCGGGAGCAGTGCGCACGCGCCCGCCAGCTCCGCGCGCAGAGCGGCCAATCAGGGGCGGCCTCGGGGCAGCGGCGCCGGAACGCCGGGGGAGGCGCAGGAAGTGACGCCGCAGCGTGCTGACGCGCGGGCTCGATCCGAGGCCCGATTCCGCGCCCGCCATGGCCGACAAAATGGATATGTCTTTGGACGACATCATTAAGCTGAACCGGAGCCAGCGAGGCGGCCGCGGCGGCGGCCGGGG